GAAAAAAGATTGAAAACAAAGAACAAGCTTGATAAGGATCTGAAAACAAAGAAAGGGACAAATGAGCAGGAACCAGCTTCTTGTACTCTGAGACGGTCTCCTAGGTTTTCGAGTGGAGGAGCATCTGTGGATGCTTCTTCCAAAGGGAGAAAATCAAGTAACAGTGTTTTGAATAGATGTAGTAAGAAATCAGTTTCTTCTGAGAGAGGAAAAGATGGAGGAGATGGTGTCAAATCTAGGGTCAGAAGTAGAAGTCGTCTTCGTCCAAAGACTAAGAAGATGTATAAAGAGTGTGATGATGAAGAAAAGGAAGAAGTTATTGCCTGCCTTAGTGAGAAGGAAAAAATGAGAATTGCAAAGGAAAACGAGGAAGAAAACGCTGTGCCAAAACCTGAAGAAGGCAAGAGAATAGGAAAGGAAGAAGAAGGATTGAAGACAAAGAACAAGCTTCCTGAAGGATGGACAGAGGAGTTGGAATTAGCTTTGCAGGGAGCTTATTTGACAGTGAAGCCGAGCCCTAATTTCTGGAAAAAGGTTTCTAAGATGGTGCCCGGGAAATCTGCGCAGGAATGTTTTGATAGAGTGAACTCAGATCTTATCACTCCTCGTCAACCTCAGCCTAGATCAAGAGCCACAAAAACAAACTTATCGACAATTCCGCAGTTCTCGCTCTCTGCAAGCAAACTACTGAAACCCAATTCACCAAAGACTAAGATACGGCATCGCAGAAACAATCTCTCGAAGAAAACAATCAGGCATTTACTCGAGAAGCAAAATCAGATGGATCAAGGTCTTGGGTTTGATCTCTTCTCAGTTTTTGAGCCTGGCACCACAAGCAACCTCCTCTCAACTCCAGTGGAGAAAGGGCAACGTCTTCCGAAAATCCTTGAAAGTCCATTGCCGTGTTCAAGATTCGCAAGTAAAGATAAAACAACTCTGGTTAGCCCTCCAGTACTTAAGCAGGTAAAAAACAAGGTATTGCATGAGAAGTACATTGATCATCTGCATATCAGGGAAGCTAAAAGAAAAGCTGAGGCGACTCGACTGCCCCGGAAAGAGAACATAAGACCTGTTGATGATAATCAGAAGAAGGATTCAGTGAAAGCAGTTAAAGATGCCCTTTTCTTTGATGTACAAGATGCAATCCAGAAGCTTAAGGGTATAGAAGCTGAGAACACATCTAGTTCTTTAGACTTTGACTGTGATCGTGGCGCAACCGACGAAGAAGATGAATCCATCTAGTCTCTAACCAGACAGATTTGATTTTACTAGAGCATAGAGATTAGAGCAAGTCATTACTGTGAATCTTAGTTTCTTAACCATGAGAGACTGAAAACAACTTGTGTGTGTTTAGTTTAGTCAAATGTTGTATAAACAACAAGAATTGTGATTCTCTTTTTAACATGAATATCAAATTATGGCTCTATGTTTTTTGCATATAAAGTTTTACATAAACTTAAAGAGATATAACGAGGAGCCAAAAGTGTTGAACCTTCCTTGGTTAAGTTGCAGAAGAAAGCGATTCATAGAAACAAAAAACATTTGAGAGTTGAAAAAACAAAGTAGTAATTTACACAAGAATTTCCTCCCTCAGTGGAAATGTTTAGTTTAGCCTCCTAATCAAAAGTTTCTCAGATCTTCAAAAACTGTTTCCTTCCTTAAGTAAGATCTATCTTGAAATCTCCTGACATTCAATAATTATAGTTATATGTTTATATAAATCCTGATCAATAGTATCAGTCTTCAGATGAGTAACCAATCCGCTCGATCTCCCAACAAAGCTTAGTCGCAACACTCTCATGGCAAGGCGAATATTCCTGCAAACACAGAACAACAACACAGTTTATATAAGTTATCAAATTTGAAAAAAACTTCAGAAACCAGATTCTTCTTGATCCATCAAACTGCCAATTGGTCAAATTACCTCAAGCTTCTTAACCAGCTCCTTAGCAGTAGGTGCGGAAATTATGATCTGGCGCGCGTTCGGACTAATAAATCCTTCTTCAACAGCTTTATCAATGAAAGAGAGCAAAGAGTTGTAGTATCCATCAACATTGAGCAAACCCACCTGCAGCAAAACAATATGATAAATTAGTTTACAATGATTTTGGTTTTCAAATTTATCAACCAAAGTTTGAATCTTTTTGAGGATCACAAATATGGGTCGTTACCGGTTTGTCATGTATACCAAGTTGAGCCCATGTTATGACCTCTAAAAGTTCTTCAAGTGTTCCATATCCACCTGCATTTTCATAACAGAAAGAGATTATAATCTGTATATTTATTATTATTAAATTATATGGTCAATTCACCAAATTATGGTTCATCTGCACAAAACTGTCCTCTGYACAAGAGGCTTATCCTCTGACTCTATTTACATATGGACATGATTACAAAAACAGGGTCTTATTGGAGAACAGGACCTTCTTAGATGGGAAAAACATGCTTTTTTTCTGAAACTGTTTCAGGTTTTTGTCTTTTTACTTGAAACAGGTAATACAAATTAAAACTTTGGTCACAGTAAAACTACAAACAAGCTATATAGAGAGTAGGGAGAGAGTAGCTCCC